CCTTCCATTCCCCCTCTCCCTTCCCCCTCTTTCCACCCCCACCAATAGTGTTCCTCAATTTATGTAATTCTCTGATGCGATGCACCAATTTATGTATTTGCCGAGTCATATGTTATAATGTATGAATGTATTGACCAAATGCCTTTAAAATCTATAAAAATCATCTAAAATCTAAAACATCTCCACACACCCCCCTCCCTCCCCATTGTAGGCCAGGGCAAGAAGACTGGTGGCTGTGCCAGCCCTACTACCACCATGCTGGGGCTCCACTCCTGGAACTTGTTGACTTTGCTCTCGCCGAAGCTGAAAAGGTCAGAGGTCACAACATTAATTACCCTGCCAGCTGTTTTGTTGGAAGTAGGGTGTGGGTGGTTGGTGGTTGCTCTAATGTGGTTTGCTCCTTCTTTTCTATCAAGCATCTATCATCCTTACCTCTCCTACTTCTTTTTTGTGTTTGTTACTCTCTTGTAACACCTCTAATCTTCGCCACTTATTCGACCTAATTGTGTTTCAAGTGCTGTAAAATGCTTACTAAAACAAATCAAATGAAGAAGGGCATTTTGTGGTAGAGGATTAGGCTCTCTTTGCTTTCCTAGAATGTCATGTCTCGTGATCAGAAAGTAGTAGATATGTATGATGTATGTCCCCCTCCTACTTCTGATTTTTGTTGCTTTTTTAAAAAAAGAAATGACATGGACATTAATAGGTTGTCATTACAGATGCACTGATTCTTGATCTCTTACCTTGAGTAGAGATTGTTCTTGTACAATAAGACTTGTGGCGTCGGTGGACTGGTGATTAGACTCTCGGACTCACAATCATAAGGTCATGGGTTCAAATCCCATTGGGGGCTCGATATTGTGTCCGTGGGAAATGTACTTTACGCGAATCACTTCACCCAGGCATGAATGGGTACCAGGTATAGACAGTAAAAGATCTTGTCAGATGGTTATTGTTTGAGCGCGTAATCAGCTGCTTGCTGTTTGTATTTCCTGTGTTCCTGTTGCTTATTTTTTCCAAAGATAGTTCTTGATTTTACCTTTGTGGGTGGTTGATGGGTGCTCTGGTGTGGTTTGCTCTCTCTTTCCTATCAAATATCTACTGCCTTCATCTCTTCTCCTTCTGTTTTATGTTTGTTACTCTTTTGCAACACCTCTAACCTTTGGCACTTAAATGGCTCAAATTGTATTGCAAGTACTGTAAAACTCAGTAAAATAATTCGTACATATGATTTCCTCTCCAGCAACCCCGTCAAGAGTTTGGCAAAGGTTTGCTGCAGTACTTGGACTTCGTGCTGTGTGGTAAGAATGACCTGGAGGTCAACGACCCAGCTCTTGCCGACAAAGTCCTCAACATCTACGCTGTGGCCGCCCCCGAGAAGTTGTCACAGGTCATCCTTTTGTCACACTTGAAGGACTTTACAGCAGGTAATGTTATATATTGTTGGAACTGTCACATGTCACTAAAGCTGTCATGTGTCTCAACTGTCATCCATTTCTGCAACTGATGTGTGCCTCAATAAGTGTCATGTGCCACAACTTGTTCATCACTATAGCTGTCACCCATCACTACAATTGAGACATATGACATCTGTCAGTTGTCACTATAACTGTTACTCATCACAACTGACACTCATTGCTACAACTGTCACTCATCACCATACAGGATGGAAATTTTGCGTAAATTTACGGAAATCCGTAATTTTTATTTGCTCCGTCATTTTCCGTGAGTTGGACCTGACGTCCACACTACCTACTTTCAATTGTGAGTCATTCTACTTTGTGTACTAATCTGCAATTGAATAAGTGTATTTTTCCACCGATCTATATAGCCCACGAAAAGTTCAGTAAATTTTGGGCTGATCAGTTTCCGTCCCTGACTAACCGTTACATATCACAACTGACACTCTTCACTACAACTGTCGCTCGTCACTATAACTGTCACATATCACAACTGTCACCTGTCTCTACAAGTGCCACATGTCGCAAATGTCACCCATCGCTACAACTGCAGCTGTCACCCATCACTACAATTAATTGTCGCTTATCACAACTGTCACTCATCACTGTAACTGTTGCCACATATCACAATTGTCACCTGCTACTACAAATGTCACTTATGGCTCACTACTTTTGGTGATGATATATGAAACTGGCGCATGCCGTCCTTTTGTTGCATCTGCCCTATCTTCTGTATATTTGTTGACACTACCCTTACCTGCTCTATATTCTGTATATTTGTTGACACTACCCTTACCTGCTCTATATTCTGTGTATTTGTTGACACTACCCTTACCTGCTCTATATTCTGTGTATTTGTTGACACACCACTTATCTTCCTTTTCTTCTGTATATTCATTTATACAACCCTTACCTGCCCCATCTTCTGTATTATGTTCATTGACACACTCCTTATCTTCCCTTTCTTCTGTATTATGTTCATTGACACACTCCTTATCTTCCCTTTCTTCTGTATATATATCTGTTGACACACCTCCTAGGTGCCCTATCTTCTGTATATTTGTTGACGCACCACTTATCTTCCCTTTCTTCTGTATATTCATTGACACACCACTTATCTTTTGTCTCTTATTTTCTCAGAGAAAGCTCTACGCCACCTAAAGACATGGCTGTCCTTGAAGGCAAGTGCAGCTCAGCCTATCAGGTATGCTTTGTGCTTGATCATCTATACTTTGTCATCATCTTCCAATCAATTACAGTCGAACTTGTCCAAGACTACCATCATGATATATATGTCTCTCTCTCTATCTTTTTTTTCACTCTTTCTGTCTTCCACTCTCTCTCTCTCTCTCTCTCTCTCTCTCTCTCTCTCTCTCTCTCTCTCTCTCTCTCTCTCTCTCTCTCTCTCTCTCTCTCTCTCTCTCTCTCTTTCTCTCTCTCTCTCCTTTTCTTTTTCTTACTTTCTCTCTTTTTCTTACTTTCTCTCTTTTTCTCTTTTTTTTTTTCTCTCTCTCTCTCTCTCTCTCTCTCTCTCTCTCACATGCACACGTGCACACATACACACAGCAACAACATTTGTATTTCTTCTCTCCAATTCGCCACTCCTTCCCCCTAGACTTACATCAACCATTTTTGTACCCCAACCCCTGTGTGAGTCCAGTGCTGTGGACAAGCTAGCCATGGTACAGCTGCACCTGTCGCTCTATGAGGTTGACCTAGCAGCCAAAATATGCATTTGGCAGGTTCTCTCTCACTCTCTCTCTCTCTCTCTCTCTCTCTCTCTCTCTCTCTCTCTCTCTCACTCACACACACAGTGGGTGGTTGGCGGGTGCTCTGGTGTGGTTTGCTCCTTCTTTCCTTTCAAACACCTATCGTCCTTATCTCTCCTCCTTCTTTTTTATGTATGTGTTACTCTCTTGTATCATCTTTTCTTTGGCTCTTATATGACCTTATTGTGTTGCAAGTGCAGTAAAACTCTTACTTAAACTAGCACACACACACACACACACACACACACACAGACACAGACATATACAACATTTGTATTTCTTATCCAATTCACCCCTCCTTCCCCCTGGACTTACATCAACCATCTTTGTACCCCAACCCCTGTGTGAGTCCAGTGCTGTGGACAAGCTAGCCATGGTACAGCTCCACTTGTCGCTCTGTGAGGTAGACCTAGCCTGTGCCGAGCTCACCTCCATTCCCCGGGCTGAGCTGGTGTCCGTGTGTGCCTCGAACCCCAGCCTTGTGCACTGCAACCTGGAGGCCTTCACTCCACTGGCCCAGCTGATGCGCCAGCACCTGGCACCCGTTCTGCTGGACATATTAGTGGACATGCTTGACCGATGCCTCATGTCACTGGACTCGCTCATCATCCTCCTCAAGGTAATTCTGCGGGTGGTTGGAGGGTTACATTGCTAGGTCAAGCTTATTTTATTTCCCCTCTGTTGTTCCTGTCTGTCTGTCTGTCTTGCTTTTTCCCTGTACTGAATAAGATGACGCTGAGTGTAACTATAATGTCATGATACCTCTCCTGTGATGACACTTAGTGTAACTGTAACACCAGGGCTGCCCATCTTTATGATTTTTATTCAGTTTTATGAAAATGCGATCATAATATCCCTGATTCTGATTTTTTCAAAGTTTTGGCTACCCCTACCTACTGCCAAGCTTCCCTGAGTAAAAGTGAAGAAAAACTACCAGACCCAGACAGTCAGAACGTCACGTGCACCCTCTCTGCATTAAGCCCTGAAATGTCAAAGCCATTTTACGAATTTTGAAGCCAAATTTTTAAATTTATATTTGTTTATTACTAAAAACATACGCTAGTGGGTGGGCAGCCCTGTAACATTAAAGTCTCTCACTCCTTTGATTCGACTGAGTGTAACTTTAACTTTATGGTCTCCTCTTCTGTGATGATACTGGGTGTGTCTTGAACGTCATAGTCCCTTTTCCAGTGGTGAGTGTAATTAAATCATGATCCCCTCTCCTGTATTTACACTGAGTGTAACTGTAACGTATGTAAAAATTTGTTGCGCTGCAGCTTGGAGAACAAGTAGCCAACTACGTGTACTCCTGAGATCTAGCAGAGAAGAAAAAGAAATAGTGAGACACACACTTACACCTTCTTTGATTCCAAACGTACTTGCGATGTCTTTTATTTGGAATATACCAAGGAAGTCACAATCAGAAAGGAGGGAAGTAGTACTTCCTCTTTGTCTACTGCCAAGACAAAGCTGTATCATGCATACTGCTTTAAGATGGTCTGTCAAGATGCAAAAGGCCTCGAACATCATAGTCCTCTCTGCTTTGATGCCACTGGGTGTAATTGTAGCATCAAGATCCTCTCCTTTGGGACTGAGTGTAACTGTCATGTCATGATGTCTTATGAAGTGTGGGTGGCAGGTATTCTAGTGTGGTTTTGCTCCTTTTTTCCTATCAAACATCGATCGTCCTTATCTCTCCTCCCTCTTTTCTTTGTATATTTCTCTTATTACACCTCTCATCTGTTGAATTTATAACATGACTATTTTTGTTTCACGTGCCGAAAAACTCTCATATTTAAACTTAACTAAATGATCGCCTCCCCTGTGCTGAGAGCTGCACTAATAGTACACTTGTATTCCCCAGAGTCAGGGCAGTGCCGACATACACTACAACAACCACATCAAGGAGGTTCTTGAGCTGTTACTTTGTGGTAACTTTTGTTTTGTTCTTCACACTCTGTGGTCAGGGGAAGTAGTAAAGTAAATTCCCCCTCCCCTTTTCAAACTGCGTGACTTGTTGCACAGTGCTCAGGGTCACAATGGGGTTGCAGTTATGTCTTACTGGAACTGGAAACAGCGGGCAGTGATCATCATGATGCATGAAGGCACCTTTTTTGGATAGTTTAGAGTCGTATAAGTTGTGTTGGTCTCTCAGTGCATCTGTCTGTCAAATGTCTGTTTATCAATTGTCATACAGGAGAAGTTTAGTACTGTTACTCTGTGTCGATACATTTCTCAGTGTTATTATTTGTAGGTAGATTATCATATATATATGTAACATTTCTTGCTATTGTTTGATTCCATAGAATATCATGTCTGTGATATTTCTCAGTGCCTTTTGTCTACATAAAATATTGTGTCTATAATATTTGTCAGTTTTAATTGTCTACAGAGAACACCATAGCTCTATTTTTGCTGTGCTTCTTTGCAGCATGTTCATCCACTATTCAGTGGCGAAGCGTCTATATAATAAAATAATCACTGCTTCCCTTCCTAATTTTGAAATATTGCCGCATTCAAATTCACCCATAGACGTAAACCTCATAAATTAAATGTAAAAAGACGCTCATAATCACCAATGAACGGTATGCCTAACATTCAAAACGGTTTAATAGCCACAGAAATAGCCTGTTCACCCCTATTGTGCCACTCCATAAGCAGTCGCAAGCTTTGATTAAGTAAGCTTACTGTGAGGCTGGAAGAGTCTACCAAAAGAGTAGAAGGGAACATGTGTGCTACAGTCAAAACTGTTTCATTGCCACATTTACCCTGTTCACCCCTTTTGGGCCACTGTTATAAGCAGTCACAAGCACTGATTATGTAAGCGAACTATTACACTGGTCGAGTCTACCTCACAGACGTGAGGGGAACTAACTCCTAATAATATCTTGACTGCTGCAAGTGCTTGTCTTTTTTCCTCGACTTTTTACCGTCCTATAATCAGATCGTGACCTCGGTTATGACACCGGCTCCTTGCAGCGAAACCCAAGACAAAAACAGCCAAATGTGAAATAAAAAAATTAATAATTGTCATGTTTTACCAAAGAGTTTAGTCTCGCTGGTATTACACACTGTAGCACTGACATCTCTGCTCCTTTGCTTTGTGTTTGTGTATTCACATCTAAAGATAAATTGAATGTTTGTTGGAAAAATATTTATGAGATACTTTCCCGATTATTTTAGCGGTTGAACATGCATACAACATGAAGTCAGGATTTGTTTTCATTTTTCATTCGCAACGCAGTGTTGCCGCCTCGAATAAGATTCTTGTGCGATATCTCCAGGCCCAAAACTGGTCCCATCTGACTTTGATTACCCTGTCAAACAAGTCAGCCTTCGCCCCTGCCACTATTAGTGTTTTCTGCTTCTCTGAGGAAACCCGTCTGACATTTTCTTTGTTCTTGTTCATTTCAGATGAGCGGAGACTATTCTTGTTTGATGCTGCAACTGTAAGTAATTAAGCGCACACCGCGTCACTTTTCGCCTGATTCTGTTACTTTCAGTTAGCGTGACTCTGCAGCCCGCCAGAGCTCTCCGGCTCGGGGTCACAGGGTTTATGAGTCCTTAAGTGACTTTGCCGGTGTCGGTTAAGAAGTTTGCATTTTTGTCTATGTTTGAAATGGTATAACTTCTTCACCATTACACTGATGTACTAAAAGCTCAATGTCTTGAGATTTTTCTGTGTTTGAATGCTTAATTTCAGCAAACTTCTTGCTGTCTATGTCTGTCCCTTCTTCACTTTCTCTCTCTGTTTCTCTTACTCTTACTCCCACTTTCTCTTACTCTCCCCCTTTCACACTCCTTTGAAGTGCTTTGAGCACTTTCCAAATGAAAATGCGCTTGTATAAAGGAAAGTGCCGCAATTTTTATTTATTATTACCGTTATTACTATTATTATTATTGTTATTAAATTATTATGTCTCCTTTTTGTACCATCCCTTATCAATCACTCTCTTTTTCCACATCTTATCCAGTTCTACTCACACATCGGGCAGGCACTTTTGTAGTACGAAATTTATTATCTTTTCTTCAACCTTTGTTACTGTATTATATTGTACCCCTCGACTGAAGTGTCTTTAAGCCATTCCCAAAGGGGGGGACATCAACATGTTCTTATGCTCAGTGGATGGACTGATTCATCCATGTCATGCGCATAACTGTGCCTGAACTTCAAAGAGAAACTGCTGTTTTTTCTTCCTAATCCTCACTATCGTCATTTTTTTCTCTACTTCTTTTATATGTTTGTCGCACTCTTGTGACCCGCTATTTTCGAGGTGCCTTGATAGTCGAAGCAGACTTTGTGCTGTTAAAGCTAGAGAGGTGAGCAGAGTAAGCCTGATTCCCTGTATGGACTTCTCTGTTGACTTGCACCCCTTGGCGCCCATATGACCTTTTGCAGTTGTGAGGGCCATAAAAACTCTATTAAAGCTAAAACTGTGTTATATTACCTTTCGAAACAGTTCGCTCACTTTTTGCAATACCCTGCTTTGTTGTTTTCCTACTCTAGTATTCCTCATTATTTGTTTCTATGCGGATGGCTGGAAGGCACCCCTGAAAGGTCCTGTTATTTTCTTTTTCTCCTCTATTGTTTCTGTTTATTTGTCTTACTTTTTCCCAGCACTATATGTGAGGCAGTGTGGTGAAGTCAGGCGCTTGTCAAAACAATGAAATCAATGAAAACAGCCTGATTCTGGGTTTGGGTAATTCTTTTCAAATGTTCTATTTTTGGCTCAACACCTTTTATGGCCTTTGAAAAACGCATTTCTGAATAGATGTTACCAAAAAATGTTCATTAAAGTTAAATGCATGAACAATTTTAATTTCCAGTTTCCAAGGATTCTCAAGCTTTGGAAGCCACCAAACTTTGGCAGCCATTTTCTTGCTAGTTTCTACCTCTCATAATAGGCAACCCCACCACCTTCAATTGCAAATATCTCGACTTCAATTCAAGATAGAGGGGTATTTTTTTTGGCCAAATGCAAGACAAATAAAAAAGCTTTAAGATGATATTAATAACTCTACATGCCCCAAATTTAATGAGTGCCTGATTCCACCTCGTAGTAACACATATGAGCATTTTTGTGTGGAAATGCTTCTCTGTACTCAAATAAAATATTGTTTCCACTTTTGATCAATGAACTGCGTTCGAAAGTGCAAAAGTTGTTTTATTGAATATCATCCTCACCTGAGATGCTGTGTCCTACTCTGGCCCTGACAGATAAGGTCGAAGCAACCCTTCTCCTAAATGATGTAAATTGTGTCAATGCCATGGTGCCATATAACATTTACAACCCATACAATCTATCAGCTTGTAATAATGTCATGTTTTTGGGTTTAAAAAAAAATGTTTTTCTTGTCAGCAATTGTTGTGTGAGATCTATGTGGTGAGAATCCGAGGCAAAGGACAGCATCAGACCCAGGGGAACAGCGTCAGTCCACAGAAGTTCTCACTGGTAATTATCTCCTCTCCCAGCTATTTTTAGTTCAGATAGAAACCATGTTTAAGTGTAGAATATCTTTCTAGTTTTGTCTAAGAAGCAAAAATACTTCTACATCAGACAGGAACAGTGTTTTCAAGTGTAGAATATCTTTCTAGTCATCTAAGAAGAAAAAAAACTTCCTTTTCATATAGGAGCAGTGTTTGAGTATAGAATATCTTTATAGTGATTTGAGAAAGAAAAGATGTTTCTCTAAAATTAATCCCAGGTTACAGCTTTAGATAAATGCCTGAATGAAAACAGAAAATCCTTATGGTAGGTCACTGTTTTGACTTGTTTATCTCTGGAAGGTCACTATTATGACTTATCTGTTCACTTCTGGAATGTCACTTTTATAATTTGTTCACTTATTGAAGGGCACTGTTGTGAATTATTAATTCCTGGCTGTTGTGGCTTTGTTGTGCAATAAAGAATTGGGAGACATCTTTGAAATATCCACAGATCATTTATGGTTCAATCTTCAAACTTTTCTAACTCTTTTCATGTTTCAAAATTCTCATATTGAATTTCCCAACTAAGCCCATAGATTTTCCAATATTTTGTGGGATATTTTAAGTCTAAGACAGGAAATTGTAGCCATAAAACATGAGTGTTTTTATTTCTTTAAAAAATGCAGGTAATTGTGGCCATAAAACATGTGGTTTTGTAAAAAAAAAGAAAAAGAAAATGGCAAGAATTTGGGGCTATAAAACAAAAAAGAGTTTTTACTTTTTTTTTTAAATTAAAAAATTGTGAGAATGAGTTTGTAAGTACAGAAGTCCGACCTCTAATGATACACCAGTCTGTAATTCCCTTCCTCAGCGGATATTCAGATTTACTTAATCTGCTTCCATGTATTGAACCCCAAATTTTTCACTTTATTCTATGAACTGATGGCTCGACGATTTCTCCATATTTCAGCCCTCTGGCTGTGGTCACTTTGCCCCAAGGTTTGCCTGGCTGGATTACCTCCCTCCCTTCTACAGCCCCCACAAGATGGTCAAGCCATGCGCCTTCATGGAAGTGAAGCATTTGACCGGTCAGGGTTTGCGAGCTGCCAGCAGTAAGCCTGTGAACGTTGTGGCCAGATCGGCAAACAAGCAAGTTTGTTCTTGCTGTCTGTGCCACGAAAACTTGCTCAAACTACAGGTAACTTTTTTTGAGGATATGGTAACAAAATATACTAGTGTATCTCCATTTCTTATGCCCCTCTTTCTCTCTTTCTCTTTCTCCATCTCTCTCTCTGCCTCTCCCTCTATCTCTCTCTCTCCCTGTCTCTCTCTCTTTCTCCCTCCTTTCTCTCTCTCTCTCTCTCTTTCCCCCCCTCTTTCTCTCTCTTCCTCCCTTTGTCTCTCTCTTTCTTATCTACTATCTATTTGTTTATCTGTTTATCTGCTTACTCTCTCTCTCTTTCTCTCTCTCTCTCTC